GACTTTGCCGTAAAGAACCGCATCAATCTGCTGCACTCATTAATGACAATAATGATAATAATGTTCATCATTGGCACTTTGGCCTAATTATTGCCTCTCAGCGAATAAATGATATACATACAGATGTATGTGAATCAGATCAAGTCAATATCACACGGAGATTATTCTTTTATTCTGCATTATTGATTCTGGCGTGGATGATATCCTGCACTACCCCGCTATCGGTTCTGCTTGCTCATCTTTGCTGCTCCTCCTCATCGTATCCACTGAGAAAGCACTCTGTCAGAGTACTGGAACCAGGAAGAAGATGGTTACGCTTGAAGCACTCAGTCGAGGAACTGAGGTTCCAGAGCAGCTGGCCAAGGGAAATGTTGAAGAAGTTCTTTGACGTTTCGTAAGGATGCCGAGAAGGTCATAGCTTTTGAGCCGATCTTTAAAGTAGCAACAGGTCTTGCGAACTGAAGAAGCAAGCGAATTTCGTGATTACGAGTTTTGCAGGCTGTCCGTGCTCCCAGAAACGGTTCTTGAAGAAGTCAAAGAGTGAGTGTATCAAGGCACAATACAGATGTAGCGTACATGAAGCAACACACATTACAGAAGTTAATCTAGATGTAAAGCAGAAGTACCTTATACTGATGCAAAAGGCACAGAAACGGACGTGAAAAATAGTCCCAGAGCATGTTGAACTGACATGACAAGACACGTTCCAAGGCGAGGGAACGCATATGCTATTGCACTACGGAAGCAGTACGGTAGTGAGGAAATGAATTGAATCCATCGATCAATTTTAACAATAAATCATTTGTGATCTTGAAATTTGCATTTCTCGACTTCTTATTTCACTTAAAACAAGTAAGATGGTAGTTGAAAAACACAAGTCTGTACCTCTCTAAAAGGCAAACAGCGCAACTATGCTTACAGTCATCGTCATGAACATAAATTGAATGACACTTGACTTTATCGCAGCCTTAAAAATACGTATGAGAAAGCACGCAACTCTAAGCATACAAACAACATAACACATGCATGAAGCAATATTTCTCAAATTATTTGCACGTGAAAATAACATCCATCAGCTGAAAGTGCCAGTCATTAAGCCAAAGTGCCAACGCTAAACAATGTGATCAGATCATCATCACTGTCGTCAGGAAACACAGAAGACTGATTTGGTTCGATACAGCTAAATCAGTTTCATCTGAGTAATAAGCGAAGTCTTCCTCGTATGCGATTCCCTCGCTTGCATAAAACTCGTCACTTTTCTCCATGCTTTCCTTGGAATCACCTCCTTTTTTCAGGGCTCCATATTTAACGACTTCTGTCACCACTCCTCCCTCTGAACTCACGCCTGATACTTGAGTCAAATTTAATTTTCGGCAGTCTGAGCTTGTGCAGTATGGATTTTCTCTTTCCGCAAGGCAATATATCACTGTTCTGCTGCAAATTTGTGTAAGCTCATGAAAACAATCAGTGAAGATAGAAAATCTGCAATAAGAATAAAGTGAAAATCCGAGAGTGGTGAGAGTTAGAAGAACTCTTCAACTTACGAAGGACATCCACGCATTCCAAGTAAATAAGACGATGGGATTGAACAGATTGCTTTAAATCGAATAAGAAGTCGTTTATTCCGATATAGCAAATTATGTTCCTAAAAACTGCATTTTTAGCACCGATCCGATGCACAGTAATGTCGTTTCGAAGACTACATTTGAAATTGTGTCGCAATGATTTTGAACGAATTCTCACAGCTCACTTCGCAATGGAAGTTTGAGATACAGACAAGTGTAGATAACAGTTTAAGACAAGCAAAATGACGATAACTTTGTCTCATACATCGAAAGCGGGCTCTTGCTTCTTATGGCACCGTTCTAAAGCCCGCACTTCTTCCAAAAAGTTTGCCGGCGGTTTAACTTCTCGCTGAAAAACTTAAACGTTTGGAGGGAAAAACATTCACAATATGCTGCCAGCGACAAAACTTCTTTCCTACAGTACTCTATTTGCTTATTAATTAACCTTCGAAAATAGTAACAAATTCCGCTTTTATGTGCATGACACATCCATCCTTTAAAGTAAAGGCAACGTTCTTCAAACTGTTTGAGCTAAGCATTCATATGTTAGCGTTAAAAAGATTACCTAACATAGTTC